CTAAAAGTTGGAGCCCCTGTGCAAGGAGAAAACATCAGAAATGAGCAGTGAGTGCGTGCAGGTTATCAGCACCAAAATCTCACTGTCTGCAACTGGGAAGCTCCTGCTGTGTCGAGACGTGTTCTCAAGCCATGGAAATGTTTTTGGCTTTTGGGAATTCAGTTATTTATGTGAAAGAATTCAAAGCCATGTCTTAGAAAACAGTGGGACTCCAGGAGGCTGTTCAGGCCATCACTGGTAGGACAGTTGGATTAAAACTGATCCTCACCAGCTCAAACTTCCTCTTGAAACAAGGTCCTTGCTCCCCTCCCAAAGCAGACATCCATTTTTTTCCTTCCCCCAAGGCACAAACAGCATTAGTTAAGGCTTATCCACTTCAAATCATCTTTTCACAGGCATGTTTGCCTTAGGCCGCATGCATTCCAGGATTGCCTCAAACCCACGGTATCAGGTGGTGCTATCTGTGCTTAGAACTTCTGAAGAAATGGGGAGTGGGGTAGAAATGACAGCATGGAAGTTCTGTTCAGTTCACTGAGATGGGAGTAAGCCAGACTAGGCCTGCTTCAGGGGGATGAGGGAGCAGCCTCACACAGCCCTGCTCTCTTCACAAAAGGACAGTCATGGTCACCTCCCAATTCTGCGTCTACACCAGGGATATCATTCTGGTTTTTTTTTTTTTAATTTATTTATTTTATTCATATAGAACTGAGGTACAGGCCAGAGATGCAGAGGGTGAGAGGATTCACCAGAGACAGATCAGAGAGCAGAACAGACAAATCGACGAAGTACACTGCTGAAGGGGTCAGGAGAGGTCTGCTCGCCATGTGGTCACCTCCGACAGGCTGGAATGGAACTCATGAGGAAGTGGCTTAAGCTTCTTAGTGCTGTGCTTCAACCCCCTGCGCCACGAGGGAGGGCCCTCATTCTGGTTTTAGAAGTGACTTTTTATCTATCACACTTTCTACTTTCTATATACTGCCTCCAGGAATCACTTTCCAGCAAAGGCTCAAGCAATTCATGGGGGTAAACAAATAGAGGCTAGTATCTAATTTCTAACCTAGTGATCCAGGGCAGTTATTTCTCCTAAGAGGTTACCAGTTCATTACCACATGCTCTGGTTTGGTGTTCACACCTTCCCAAAGCAAAACACACTCTCCACTTAGGGCCCATTTATCCTTAGGAGATACCTTCAGACAATGTTCACTGAAAATTCTCCACAGATGGCACAGATTCACAGTTGAGTGAATGATTTTCCATCATTTTTGTTTATCACAGAAATGACTTTCACTACATAAGCATAGAAAGCACCCAGTTCATTTTCTTAGGCGAGAACAGTGGACATCTCATGAGATGAAAGACAGTCCTCACATCAGAATGAGTTGGCAGCTAAGTAGACCAGACCTCCAACTCATCCTTTATGACCTAGTTTCCTTCTGTTGAGCAGGCATGGCCTCTGCATACTGCTTTTCTTCACAGAACAGTGGGAATATCTTGTCTCCTCTAGGGAGTTGTAAGCATCCAGTGTGATTTTGTAGGTGATAGAACTAGCCATGGTGGAGAGTTCAGGATGGGAGCTGGCACAGACTATGGCCTGGAGAGCTGTAACCAAGCCTGTCTGAAGGGATACTCCTCCTGCACACATGCAATTTCCCCAGATGCTCAAAGAAGCAACTTCTGCAACACAACAGGGAAGAACCCCTCTGTCTCCCAGAACTTCGGAATATTCATAACCAGAACAGAGCATTTGGAGGTGCCACTGGCAAAGGAGGATGTTTGACTCCACAGTTAGCGCCTATTAGCACAACATGGGGCCAGACTGTAATCTACCTTGCTTTGCCTCCAGAACTAAATCACAAGGTTAGACTGAAGATACAAGATCATAATACATCAAAGGGTTTGTTGGAGAATGAGGGTGACATAATGTATTTCCAGTCATGCAGTCATGGTCAAGGGAGCTGGAACAGGCTAATTCAGGTTCATTTCCCTTTTGGGTTACCTGTTCTGCCTTTTTCAGCTGTATTAGAAGAGCAAACAAAGGAATTTCAATTTGCAGTTTAGGAGGGAAGGGAAAATAAACAAGTTGCCTGTACTAGAAGATTTGAGAAGCTTTTCAGAAGGATGCTGACTCTTAAATCCTCTCTGAAACCTGAGCCTAAGTCGGATAGTTCACTGTGTAGTTCATAACCCTGAGAAAGGCGTGTAGTATGGAGTACACTTGTTGCATTTCAAATAGTGGAGAATAAATGTCTGTTAACCCCATTATTCCATCACTCCATTTCTTCTTGAATTTTGTTTCTGCTGGCCATTTAGGCAAGTACTTCCTAATTAAAGAGGGGCCAGCATCTGAATTTACTCCATTCCCTTCTCCCAGCCTACATGAATGTCATGCGTGCTGCAATGTCTGACTGAAACAAGCTTGGGCATTGCTGGGGGGCAAAGGAGCAGTAACTTTCAGTTCTCACCATTTTCCTGCATTGCCCCTCAGCAGGCCTTGTGTATTCCCCTGACCTTGAACTTGGCCCCCGTTTTTCCCCTCAGGACCTTTCTCTTCAAGGACCAAGGCAAACCACTATTTTCTGACTCTTTTCACTATAACAGCCTGTACTGGTTGTACTCTCTTCAGAATTCCCTTTATTATCAAAATATCTCCATTTTTTGCACATGATTGCGTTTATAATTCTTCCATGGATTCAGTTTTCACTCCCAGATTGACTATATTCCTGAACAGTAATTTTATACTTACTGACAGCCCAAAGTTCTTGGCTCAAGATAGAGGCTTTCTGGTAATTTCCTAGTTGATTAAAAAGTTCCTAGTGTAGTTCATACTGTACAGATCCTGTGTGGTTTGTGAAGTCCATGCTGTTGTGCATTAAGTTAAATGCTGGGTGCAGTACCTCATGATCTCAATTTTGCTGTTTGTGTGTGGTACAAAGACATGAAAGTCTGGGGAGAATTCAGCCACATGTCCATCACGATCTGTGTAGTAAGGTTAGTATAAATTGCTTTTCACTGATGACATTCCAGAATTTATGTAAAGTGCTTATAAAGAATATTTTTAGTTTATATGAGTAGCTCTGGTTTAACAAAAAAAAACTAGGAATGACTGAAGTAATGAAACTGGTAAGTTTATAAATGGCTCAATACAGAGAAAAGATGACAGTGACTAACATTTGGATGTCTATGGCTCTTCCTGGGTCATATCCCAGGAATCCCACTGTTCCCAAAGTGTATTCTAAGGAACACCCATACTACCATAGGTGATATTTAAATAATATGGAAGGAGGCATGCATGCTATAGCTGCCTTTTGGAAATTCACACTGTCCATTGGAAATTTACAATTAACATTTCTACCACAAAGGAATCTGTGTCTGATCAACCAGAGTTTTCTACACTTTTCTGAACATCCTGTGTCTGCTAAACTGTGGGCATTCTACTATGAAAACATTCTATCTTTAAATAATATAGATTGTTTTGAATCTATTTTGCTTTTATATTGATGTCGCCTTAGTTAAATGATCCAAAGAGATAATAAGTTAGAGAATAACTCCTTTTATCCAAAGCAATAGAAACAATTTACCAATATGATTTGGTGATTTTCTTTGATTGTAACAACTACCAGTATCTATCATCACTTAATTATTTGTTTTAAAACTTGGACATAATGGGGAAGTAAATGAAAAAACATCTTGTGAGTCCAGATTTATCCAACCACCTCTGGAGTCCAGATTTATCCAACCACCTCTGGAAACCATTCTTAAGTGGAAAGTTAGCTTGTGGAACGTGGTTTTTTTGTTTGTTTTTCCATTTCCACAACTTGTGTATGTGTGTGTTTTGTTTTTGTTTTTTGACAATGATGCTGATAGTTGAGAAATCTCTCTAACCTACTCCTCCCCTCCCCCAAGCACTGTTTGAAAACTGTTCCACTAATGAAAGGTTGTAGAGGCTAACCTAAAATGTCAGTAATCTCTATAAAGTGAAAAGCACATGTTTTCACCTGCAATTGAATTTGCATTACACTGTCAGCATTCATTGGGAAAGAAGTCACAGTGGCCTGGCAGGAGGATAGAACTCAATGGGCTGGCACTCTGCTGTGCTTTCACTTCTGCTACTCCCCACCCTGCAGCTCAGGCCAGAAACAGATAACTTGTTTGAATACAGGTAGAGGGGCGAGCATTTGTTTTTCAAGGATTTTTCACCTACAATCTATACACATGTGAAAAATTTAAGAGGAAGAGGGAGATTAAATATCAATAAAGCAGGTAATAAAGCACAATATCGATGGTGTCAAGCAGGATTTGGGCCAGTAAAAGGCATTATCTTTCCTTAACTAGCCATGTAAGATGTGGGATTATCTTAAGCTAAAGTAGAGATAGCCAGGGTTAATATTTAATGATAGGATTAGCTGACTTTTGTATAATTGGCTACCCAAGTCAGGATTTTGCTTCAAACCAAGTTTTGTATGTCATACTTTCTGAAACAATTAATGTTAATAAAGCTATTTAAATCACTATTCAGTTTAAACAAAATATAGTATGTTTGACCCCAATATCTTTATTCATTTCCTTAGACATATATATATCCCTATAGTAGCGATGACCTCTTTGCACTCCACATTCGGCTAAGTGCCAGCTGCACATATAAAAGGCCAACTATGCTGTCTGCTAGTAATTAACATTCATTCATGGTTACACCCAATGAAAGTTTCAGCTCTGTTTAAATTTCCAGTTGATTCGTTTTATGATTGTGTGTGTAAAACAGTGAAAATAACACCGATTGCACCTAAGTCACTGGGCTCTAGAATGGCGTGTCTGAACCCATTCGAAGATACCAAAGGAAATATTTACCTAAGTTCAAGTTTACAAAGCTGCCTCTATATCCCCATGTCCCTATCCCTCATTCCCCAGGCTGGGTAGCCATGACAACAGGCCTAGGGCTGGCTGCCTCCTGCAGGGCAGTGAAGTCTGGAGCCCTGATTAAACATGCCCTTCTCTTCCCCCAGGGGAGGAGCGCCCCCGGGAATCCCCAGGCCCAGCGGAGGCCCAGGCACCGGCTGGGGTGGAGGCCGGTGGGAGAACAAGCCACCACTGCTGGAGATGCTCCCAGGTGCAGCTCAAGAAGATTTTCTGGGGTGTGGCCGTGGTGCTGTGCGTGTGTTCCTCCTGGGCAGGCTCCACACAGCTTGCCAAGCTGACCTTCAGGAAGTTTGATGCTCCCTTCACCCTGACGTGGTTTGCCACCAACTGGAACTTTCTATTCTTCCCGTTGTACTACGTTGGTCACGTGTGCAAGTCTGCAGAGAAGCAGTCTGTGAAGCAAAGATTCAGGTAGGTAGCCACCTCTGGTTGGCTGCATCCTGCCTGGGGCTGTTTTCTTTGGCATTGGAGCTGATACGCAGCCCTGGTGGGTAGGGTGGTGAGAAGTCAGTGTCTCTTGCCATTTCAGTGGAGCTAGGACCGGAGTTCTCTCTCACCTCAGGGTGTTAAACACGTGTTTCTACCTGCTCCAACCCTGCAGGTCTAGGAAATCCTTTAATATGAAACAGAAGGAAGTGTCTCCCAGAGATGTCCATGGGGTGGTCCCCAGAACTTAAAAATGGGAGAAGTCTAGCGCTGTACCCTTCCTCAGGCTGGAGCGAGGAATGTGACTCTGGAGACAGGTGACGTGGCTGAGCTTCCTGGGTAGAGATATTCACTGAAAAGACTTGACGCTTCATTCCCTGTCAACCTACAGATGTTCTCTGTCAGTCATGTGATTACATGGGTCTGCTGTGTGGCAGCATGGCTGTCAAAATCAAAGAAGAGTCTGAGCTTTGCTGGTTAGTTTCCCTGTGGAGTCCATCAGAATGATATTCCTTTCCAGAAAAGGCCAGAAGCCCTGACCCCAACATTCTACTTCAGTATACGGCAGGACTCCCCATCAGACTCAGGACTCAGATTGTCAGTCTTGTTTCTGGGTCCTCATCTATGTCAATTCCTGGACCTCAGGGCTGCCAAAGAGGACACCTCAGTGGGCTGTCAGGGATATACCACTGGCTTCAATCAGGTCTACTCAAGATAGAATGTTGGTGAAGCTGACCAAGCAGTGGACATTTTATTTTGGGCCAGTATATAGGGAAAAACTTGAAAGTTGAAGGCTTTTCACTCTCTCCTCAATGGCTTGGAGGTGTGAAGCACCTCTTCTGGTTTCCTGCAACCATACAACCTCATGAACTCTATCAAAGGACTTCCCCTAAAAGGCTGTTCTAAGCATGTATTCTAGATCTGACCACCACGTACATATATTCAACACAAGACTGCCCTTGCTGGTCAGTTGTGTTGAAAACAACACAGAAGAAGCCAGGTGGCTAAAAATTACAGGTTAGGAAGAGAAAATGAAAGTTCATTAGAAAATTAAACACAAAATACATCAATACCTTGATTTCAACTTATTGTCTTCCTATAAAAGGTGTTTGGGTAGAGCCAGGTGGTGATTCCCTTGTCAACTGGAGGAAAATGGCAGGCAGGGCAATGCTAACTTGATTAGTGAAGTCAGTTCAAACTTGGCCCAATTTCTTATGAAGCTTAGCTCTGCCTCTTTAAAAACCAAAAAACCAAAAAAAAAAAAAAAAAAAAAAAAAAAAAAAAAAAAAAAAAACATGCAATCAAACAAACCCCAGAAGCTGAGTAAGGTTAAGCTGAAAACTCTGTTACTAGGTAGATTGCTAATTTCCCAGTACTTGGATCTGACATTAAGCCAGGTACAACGTTGGAAGGATGAAATTCTCAACAAATGGA